GCATATAAATACATGCCATGTAACACAGTTTATTGTACCCTTAGTGTACCTACAGTAAATAGAAACCAATGTGTTTCATTCAGCCCATGTATTTTGACACTCACATCAGATTTAGCAATTTGTCTTCATTACAACCCCTTGCACTGTTACTGCCATCCTTTCTCAGTGCTGTGCTCGAGTTTCGCAGCAGGAAGATTGATGAAGCTTGTGTATACTGATTTGTGACAAAAGCAGGGCACTCGAGAGGCACTGTTACCATTCTGATAGCACTAAGTGGGCTAAAAATTAGCTGCACTAAGCCAATACTCTGTTCCCACCTCTCCTCCTCTTCAATTAGGGTACATGACTTGGACCTTTGAAAGGCAAAGGCTGCTGTTAACACTATTTTTAAACCTATTGCCTTCAGTTACTTTGTCACTTCTGAAGAGATTTAAAGTTCTGACCATGCTTATTAACAGCTACTTTTATTCTTTAGAGACACTTTGAATAGACAGGTTTTTCACCGTGACAAATGTTAAAAAGATATTTTCTGAATGAATCTACAGTGGCAAATTTAAATAGCAATTTTAGTGTTTTGGACGAACAGATACTATGGATACAGTTTTCAAAACTGGCTAAATGTCTGAAGAGCTCACACCACATGTGCTCATCAGGGAGAGACTAAAAGCTTCAGCATTTTAAAAGCACCAACTTATTACATACCATTATCGAGAGGATGGAGAGGTCATCTCTTGCTGCAGACAATTCATCCCTTCAATTGGGAAGTTTCAAAGACTATTGCTAGAATTGCACACTGAAGCCTGTAACTCTTCTGGCTCATTCTTTTGCTAAACACAGGTCTTGACACAGCAATTCCCAACAAGCTGAACTGCTCAGTGGTGGGTGCAGTTTGCAGAGGCTTTCTGTGTTGGAAGCTTGAGTAACAAAGCCTCTGCAACAGAGTGTTTCTAAACAGTGTTTTGCAACTGCTCAAGGCAAGAAAAAGCGCTCAGATCCACTTTCTGGGCTGAATGTGCAAGTCAAGGAACTGTGGCCTGGATTCAACAATCCTCCCCCACCAAGTTGCCCATGTACACTGGAAAGCAGGAACTATTAATGTTCTGGACATCTCAGAATCAGCTGACACCACACAAGGGGGCAGATCCTGCATGAAATGGTTTAAATTTTATGCTTATTATGGGACCTCCACCACTCCTGCAGCTGTTTGAATAAAATCACATAGAGTTTTTAAAACTGTCAACCAGCATTAGGAGGCATCTGCAAAAATTGTGGGCAGAACAGACAGACTGTTTTTGTGAGGGGTTTTTTTCCATAGCTTAAACTCCACTAACATTCTCCATTTCTAGCCTCTTCTTTTCAGAAAATTAACATGAGCTGAGAATGTTAAGTGTTAACATAGAAATTATTAGAAGACAACATATGTCCTGAAGAAGGAGGAAGTAAAAGAAGGAAAGAAGAGGATGATGTATTCAATTATTGAAGGAGAATAAAGCCAGATCATCTGAAACTTGCACCTCACTTGGAAATACATCCCTATTCTCATTCACTTGCAAAGCAAGCAGGTAGCCCTCAGCATTACCTTTCCTCTTTCAGACTGTTATTTAAATACTTCATCTTAACTACAAAATATTTGAGAAAGTCTGTGAAATAGAACAAATGTTTTTGTCTTGCTTCATGTGAGAAAGTAATGCAATCAAGTGGTCATCTCCCTCCCATTTCAGGCAGAACCATTCCATTAGTAATAATGCACTAAAGCAAGAGACCATCCTGCATAAAATCCAGTGACATCCAATTTAAACCCTAGCAGCAAAATTCTACCTGATAACGAGCACGGAATACAAGCCACAGCTTTGGAAGGCATTATAAACGTCAGAGAAAAATTAAGCCCTCGACTTGGGAGCTTAAAAAACAAGGCATTGACAATGCCACAATCAATGAAAAACCTGGGAGAAGTAATTATTTTTTTACCTCCTCCTTCCAAAACGCCCAAACAAACAAACAAACAAACAATATCCAAAAAGTATCACCAAAGCAAACAGAAAATCTCAATGATTATAAAGAGGAGTCAATTTCTGATTTCTTCATGCATCTTTTGGCTCAGGGTCTAGACATGTTTCTGCAGTCACTTTGGAACATACTCTTTGGTAAGTGTAAGTCCTGTGACAGCAGCCTGAGGTACCATTAAAAACATTCATGTTGGCACAGATCCATACATCTAGAGAAGACAATTAAAGGAGGAAGGAAGAAGAAATGCTCATCTGACCCGGGCCTCAGTACTTACTTTGCAACAGAATTCTTGTGCACTTATAAAGAGAATCACTTTTCACCCTTCCTAAGCATGGCAGTCTGAAAAATACACATCCAGTCCTTGCTGGTAATTCATGTTTCCTCTAGAATAGACAGGGACACGCAGCTCCAGAAGAACAACTCTCACAAGTGGTGGTCTGGAGACGAGCACTGGCACTACACACAGCTAGTGACTAACATCTGCTATCTCATATCACTTCATTTTCCTAACAGCTTCGGTGAAAGAGGTGGAAATAGGGTTAATAATGAAATTTGCTAAGTAAATACTGGCTGGTACTTAGAGAGTATAGCATCTCTGTCAAAGACAGGCTTATTAAAAATAATTAAAAAGTTCTATCTAGGAAAGGTCTGTCAGTGGCTCACACAGACACTGGGTGCAGGGGAGCAAGGGTTGCTAGGTCAAGTACTAATCAGAGCTTTTCAAAGGGAGCCAAGTTTGCGCTCCTTTACACCAGACAGACTCCTGGAAGAAGGGTATGAAATGAAGCCGGAAGGGAAACACTGTACTACTGGGAAACCACGGCTGTCTCGGCAATTAAGGCCTCCCCAGGGGGTTAATTACACAGAGACAGACAGGCATTTCAGAAAACCTTTCTCAGCTTGCCACAAGAACAAGCACAGCTTGACCAGCCCGGCCCTGGATCCCAGCCCATGCAGGGATGTGCAGCGATGGGCAGTGCTTCAGCAGCAGCTCAAAGGGCCAATTCAGCAGCAACACCAGGGCTGTGTCTCCAACAGAGTCCAATTCCCTTCCCACTCACTGTTCCCAGGTGGGCTTTACAATGTGGTCATATCTGCACCTCTGCAGGACACCCTGCTCCCGTGTTTCTCCTCCCCGTAGCCTGCCCTCCACTCCCCATTCATCCCCCGTGTAAGAAACAAATTTCCCTCTACTGTGTCTTCAGCCCCCGAAATCTTGCAGATTGTTGTTTTTTCAAGCAAGATACAATTCAGGGGAAAGAACAGATTAGCTTGTATTGATGACTAAAGCTGAATTCCTGTAAGTAACTATTTTGTTTTCTTTTTGCTATTAATAGCAGCACTCCCCCGTCTGTATGGGAATCCTTTGGAAAATGTGTATTTGGCACGTTACACTGAGATCCCTGAGGCAAACACATAAATCACAGAATTACAGAATTATGGAATCACAGAATCACAGAATGGTTGATGTTGGAAGGGATGTGGGGAACTCATCTAGTCCAACCCCTGCTCAAGCAGGTTCATCTACAGCTGGCTGTGCAGGATCACATCCAGGCAGGTTTTCAGTATCTCCAGAGAGAAACAAAATCCACAACCTCTCTGTGCAACCTGTTCTAGAGCTCTGTCACCCTCACAGAAAATAAGTTTTTTCCTCACATTCAGACGGAACTTCCTGTGTTTCATTTTATGCTAACTTGTCCACTAGGATTACCTTGTCCTTCTCCACAGAGCAAAGCAGACTTATAGACCCAAGATTCTCATCAATAGGCACAATTCAAAATCAATGCCCCTTTCATTCCGTGTGTGATCTTCTCTGACAGTATAAACTGGAAAGCTTGAACTTATTGGAATACATGATGACTTTACTAACTTTACAACTTAAATCCTAAAATGGAAAAAAAATCCTTGTATTTCCCTCCATTTATTTATCACATAGAATGTGTAAGAATCTACAGTGAATTATCAAGGAAAAAAGCCTAACCCAAACTTGTATAATAATAATCAACCCTTCTCTCCTGTGTTCTGCACTAACCAAAATAATTTGGGACTTCTAGCAAACAAAAAAACCTAATGAATATGCCAATATATATTTTACTACATTTTGCTGTCAGATAGTGATTGGATTGGGAACTGTTCTGTCCAGATGTTTTTTAGCTTGTATGGATTTGAAGAACATTTCCTAAAATACATAGTAGGGATGATTGATTATGTGGGACAATATGGTTCTTTTTACTTGTACCAACAGGAATCAAGAATTCCTTACCCCACAAATAGACAAAAGAAGAGAGTCAAGGAACTTTTACCCAAGGGGAAAAAAAACCCCAGAGCATGGTGTACAGCAATGTGAAAGAAAACACATGTGGCAAAACCAGTAGTTTACAAGTATATCACTCTATATCCAACACATGTGAGCTCCATATAAAGGGAAGCATTCATCACAAGGGTGAAGGGAATGGTTTAGATATTCTTTTTTAGAAGGCAATTTTTAACTTGAAAATTGTTGTTAACAGTCCCAATAAATGAAAGCTAACAAAAAAAAAAAAAATTGACTCTGATCTGATAATTCAGTGAAAAAGTTCAAAGTTTGCTTTCATCCAAATTGCATCAGACTCAAGATGCAAAATTTAAACCAGTTTAACCTGAGACTAAAAATCTTGGCAGGGTTGGGGTCATAACATATATATTTTAAAAAATATTTTTATCTAGATATTCCAAAATTCTGTCACAAACAAAATTTAAGAGCTGCAATAAAAGACTTAACTGAAGTAGGTTAGTGGTGGAAAACAAGTGTTCAATTTTTGTTCAGTTTTTTTCCTGCACTTGCAAATTGCAAAATGTTTTATTTCTTTTGTATATTCAGGCAATTCCCAGCTTTCTGTGAGTCTGTTATAAATGAAAAGAAAGCAGAATACCACTCTCCTGGAACAGGAAGAAGGGATTTTAAACTACAAAAATTAGCTAGCCTCTTAACATATATTTCCACTTAAACTTACCTCTAAAAAATGTTCTGCTTGCTGTTCCCGATCCAATTTTCTTGATGTTGTAGTAATCAGACCTGTGTAAAAAAGATGATATTTGATGGTGAACAGCCATTGAAAAATACATTTTTTCATCAACCTAAATACAAATTAATTTTTAAAATATTCCAAGGGAAAAAAATCTATTTGAAGCTATATCAGACACAGATCCCTTGACATCTGTCAAGCATTTTATTTCTCAGTCCAACCATTATCACTTTCTGACCAGCAATGAATCTTTAAAGAAAAATGCTGTGAAAAAGCAACTGAGAAACAGTTAACTGCGTGTCTACAGTTAACATGCTACATTTATTACAGTGAATGAAAAAACTCACTGAAGAATCACTATTTGTCTTATGATTAAGAGTTTCAATGAATCATTTGCATTTGACTGAAATTCTTCTGTAAAAAACCTCATTAAAGATTTCAGAGTTCTCAAACAATTAATGGGCTAGGATGCTGATTACTTCCACGCCAAGAATACTTGACAAAGAAGGTTATTTCTGTAGTAACTACTTGTATACAGAATGATTTCCAAATGTAATAATTCTAACGCATTAAAGATTTTGTACTATAATTTCATCAATTTGTTCCATGCTCACATTGAGTCTTTAAAATAAAGTTTCTTTTTACATAAGGATGATGGAGATATCTTTTTTTTAAAGCAATGTACTCCCATGAACGATTAAAGTCTTGTGAGATTTATACCACAGAAAGAAAAAGAAACAATTCTGAAGTTCCCTCAAGAAAAGTGATGATACCTTCTAGGAACATAGCTTAGCTTTTTATTTTGTTCTTACTAGAGATTTACAGGGCAGATGTGGGTTTTCCCTCATACATAATATTTCTTTGGATGGGAAAATGCAGTATGTGCTTGTTTTTTGATAGACTAACTTTTCCTAGAGATAAAGGTGATTTTGGAGACAATGCCAGTGGGCCAAGTTGTTCTCAAGAATTTGTCATCTTTAAGATTACCAAGGGAAACAAGAAAATACATTTTTCCTGGATTAACTATTCTACTTATTGAATTAATCAGACCAGCCAAGCATCTAAATACAAATCCATGATGACCCTGAATTCTTAAAAAACCCCATCAGCAACATCTATGTAAGACTTGTAGTCCCAGAAGGCTTCTACAGCTACAGCTCCTCACATGCTATCACCTTCTCCTTGGAGGAATCTGTTTACCTATTTTGGTGTGAAGGGGAGAAATATTACATGAAATAATGGGATGAAATGAACAAAGGGAAGTGCACTCTGCTTCCAGGATTTCAGACTTGTTACAAGATACATCAGACCACAGAAGTGACACCCAAGGGGAGGTCAAAGAAATTAAGAGTGGATCATTACAATTACATGGAAGAAGCTGGTGCTGGCAAAAAGCTGAAATAACAAAACTGGTATTGCCTGCATCAAGCGGTTGTAAGTATTCAAAACTGTTACACCATATGGGAGACATCTATCTACTCACTGCATGAGTTTAAACAGAAATGACAGCACAGATGATAAATTAGTGTCATTCACACAAGATCCCCCCCATGTCTGAAAAGAACTCAGATACCAGTAAGAAATTCCTAATTATGAAAGAAGTTCAGCCCCAATAAATTGATAAAGTATATATTTCAAATTTGAAATATCCCTATTCATCATATGCATGGCCACTGTGGATATTTATCAAGCACAATCTAATCACAGTACGAAATATGGTAATTTTTATATTATCTTCCACTTCCTTCACTCCTAATGTGCCAGTGTGAACTCCACCTTCCTTCTTCTTAAACAAGAGACCTCTAGCTGTAAATTATATAAGGTCTCTGTCCTCATGATCTTCTTCAGGCAGAAAAATTCACATTCCTTTTGAAGACCAAAAGCTAACATATGAAACTGAACACTCTTAGAATGAATAGTACTTGTCTTTAATTGGCAAAAGGAGAACTACTACTCCTCCTCCTCACAAAACTACTTCTTTATCACAGAGGAGGATTTTTGTTTCCCTTTGTTTAATGTAGAGCCTTTTTGACTGCAATAATTGTCAGAGTGCCTTCAGACCTGAATTTTCTTCTAAAAGACAGAGATGAACACATAGCAAGTCTCTACAACAGAGCTGCCTGTATTTTAAATGTAGCAGATTCCAGAAGATTTATCACTCAGACTTAACAGCTGATCCTAAAGGGGGCAGGTAGCAGACCATCACCATCAGTTCTGCAGACCTGATCGTGAAGTATGTTGATTGTGAACCATCACAATTTCTTGATTTTGTTTTAAAGACATCTCTACGTACAACATTCTGGGAAGTTTAATCAGGTTGTTAAACTAATGTGTAGAAAGAACTGTTCCTATGAGTGTGCAGTTCTGAGGCTTTTAGTTTCCTCTCCTGTTCTCTGTCCCACCCAGGATCCATGGTGGCCTCATTGCAGTATCCTGGCTCCTCACTGTCACATACATTCCTGACATCAGGGACAGACCATGCTGTCCAACTCTACTGCTCAAAATCAAACTACACATAAAATCAGGTCTCAGTTAATTGATATTAATACTTATTGAATTATTGTCATGTATTGGTATGGATATGAATCTGGCTCTTTCAGGTTACAAAACTGTATGTCAAGAAATGATGAAGAGTAATCATCAAAACTGAAAAGATAAATATACCAGTTATGTCTAAGACTATCCACAACCTTACCAGTCCAGTCTCGAAGAAATTAATTTCCTGAGTTTTATGAAAACCTCACTGTGTTCCTCTCTCCTGTTTTCACTACTCCACGCCACAGATACATAATAATAGCAATATTTAGCAGGATGTAGAACTTATTTTATGTAGAACTTATTTTATGTAGAACTTATTTTCCAGACACTGGGGCAACTGAGAAAAACTTGACTTCACACAAGAGACCATATCACATTTCAGTTCTTATCTAACTGTATTAAATTGCCATACTCTGTTATGGTTTAAAGTCATTATCTAAAGAAAAAACTCATAGAGAAAAATAAACCCAAGGAAATTATGTTAGGCTGTACTCCTGGCTATGAGAAAGTCAAAAGGGGACAATGATAAAAAATGACCCTTCCTTTTTTTCTATCTTCAATATGTGCTGTAGCCCTTATGGGCACAGTCATGTGGACAACTCACCAAAGCCAACTGGGAAATACAGCACACATTTATCAAAAAATAGTCAAAACTACCAACAAGCTTTAGAAGTTGTTGCACACCTCTCAAATAGTTTCTCTCAAAATTTGCAGGGAAACATCATGGTTCTGCTAAGGGCAGGAGATATTTATAATTGTCTTCTTTAAGAACATCACAAAAGTGAAGAGAAAAATTGTATTCAATAGAGAATTTATTTACACTAAAAGCATCTGCTTACAAACAGGGTTATGTCATTCTGCTCACAGAATTTCATACTTTTCTTTGATTTTGTGAGTTAAAACATCTTTCTCTTCATCCTGGCACATCGTTCCTCAGATCACATGAATGAGTTGTTTTGTGAAACTCCAAAACATTGACCAAATATTTCAGCTTGGAGATAACTTGCTATGCAAGACCTTGGAGGTCTTATACAACTTGCTTTTCTATGATACCTGTCACTTTTGCTGTTGGAGTATTTTTCCCATCTTAACAAATGAGTAATTACTGTTCTACTCCTATTACAGAGTTTGGAAATGCTGGAAGGTGAACACACTCACTCTACACAACATGTCCCACAATACTGCAGGACACAGTCACAAGTCCCAGCTGACACTGACAGGGGAACATCCTATCAAAACCTTACTCTACACTGGATAAGATAATCACTCTCTCCAAATCATTCCCCTGTAGTGGCAATGTTCTTCATCCCATCACTTTATAACATGGATAGGGCAACCAGAGATGTAGGGTGGGTAACGAGGCAGACCTGCCTTAGTGACACAGAAGAAAGAACAGGACCAACACAAGGAAATCCTGACAATTTAGCCAATGCATCAGCCTATACAATCTTCAGTCAATGCATCATCTAACAAACAAACAAACCATCAGTTACAAAGGCTCAGATGTGTGACTGAGACATTTGAGCAACACTTAGCACTGACGCTTGGGATAATGCTTTTAGCACACTGAGATGTGTTAATGAAAGGAAAAGTTCGTCAGAAACAGACGGGTTTCTGACCCACCTGAGTTACTTCACAGTTGCAATCAGCAAAGCCTGAAAATGTTATTGTTCTTGTTGTTGATGTTGTTGTTAATATTGTTACTATTATTATCATCTAACAGTAGCTTGGTGATAGGCCTGATGTCATAGGAATAATGCCAGGCATGTGAGGTGGATGAATGCACATGTGTGTCTGTATCATTGAACATGACATAAAATCAAGAATAGTCACAATTTCAACAGTATGGCTAATGCTTTATAATTGTTAAAACATTTTTAAAGAATTTGATCACGATCAAAGTGAAGGATTTAATCCATCCTCTAGCCTTCAGTTAGCTCTTGTTTCACACAAGGGTGCTCACAGAAATAAAACCTCTGTGTGCCTGAAGTAAACAGACATTGCTATACAAATACATACATATATACTGTATGTACAGTCAAATATTAGACTATGTATATGCGTGTGTGTGACATTTTGCATCTACCCTGTAAGTTGAATATTAAAAGTTATCCTAAAACAAACGTATTTACAGAGGTATATTTAGCTCTAAGGTTTACTGAAGTTCATTCTTTCCATATATATGCATTTTTGAAGTATTTTTGTTGTAAACAAAAGAATTAATTAATTCAAATTTCTTCTGTGGACTTAGCCACAGAAGAAAAATTTATAAAAGGCTGTTAAATCCAAAGGCTATGGCAGAGGAAACCTTGAAGCACTGGAGAGTTTCAACAGTATTACAGAGAGGGAAGCACTGCTCTGGGTTTGCTTCTTCTGATGCTTACTCTCTACACATCCAGAACAGCCCACGGCTGTAGGTGTGATAGCAACTAAACTGACCCTTGACTTAGAAGAAATTCACATATTTTTCAGTACTATGGCACTTTAGGGACCAAAAATTAGTTTGCCACAG